GCGGGGGTGCAGGGAAGGCAGGATCCCATCCAAGTCCCACACACCATTTCTTCCTGTCTTTCCGTCGAGTCACGCGTGCGCACCATCCATGAGCAGGACGCTGCGCAGGCCCAGCCTGGCGCTGCTGCGCACGGCGCTGACGCTGCGCTCGGCGGGCGAGGGCAGCGACTACGAGACGCTGGAGACGCTGGGGGACACCTTCATGAAGTACGCGGTGTGCGCCGAGCTCTTCTTCGAGAACCGCACCTACCATGAGGGCCAGCTGACGCGGTGCAAGGACGACGTGGTGTCCAACCTGAGCCTGGCACAGCGGGCGCAGGCACTGGGCCTGCACAGCGCCCTCCAGGTGCTGCCCTTCTCCGTGGGCAACTGGACGGCGCCGCCCATCGTCAAGGTGTGGCGTGGTGCGGTTTGGTGGGGTTGAGTCTGGGGAGGACAGTCGGGAGCCAGGCGAGGGGAGCATTGAGGAGGGCAGGACGATGGAGGACCACGAGGCCTCCGCGGCTCGCCGGCTCGGAGGAGGTGCATGCGGACTGAAAGGGGAGTGTCTGGTGTGATGGCGAAATTCACATAGCCGGTGGAGTTCCTGATATTCACACCAGTGCACACCTTTCCCTCAACACCCACACCAAGACAGGTGGGCGGCAAGGTGCTGGCAGACGGCATGGAGGCCCTGGTGGGGGCTTTTGTGGTGGGCAGCGGAGAAGAGGCCACCCGCGTCTTCATGAGGGTGCGACCCTGGGGGGGAAGGGTCCTGCCTCCTCTTGTGTAATCGGGCTGAGCATGACATGATGATGATGATGACGGTAGTGCTGCATGGTAAGGAATGCAGGGAGCCGACTGGGGTTGTCAGCCCTGCCTCAGCCAATCGCTCCCTTCCCTCTTCTCCCACGCAACCTCACAGGTCCTGGGCCTGCTCAAGGCCCTCCAGCCCAGCTCAAAGCTGGAGCCGGCGCCGGGCGGGGATGCCGACGTGGCGCACCAGGAGGTCGACGTCGACGCCATCCAGAGGGTGCTCGGGTGCGTGCGCTGTTGGCGTGGGAACCTTGAAGCAGCAAGAGGGCTGGTGGCACGTATTCTGCCGCTACCCACGGCAATGGGGTGTGGAGGTTGGGGTGGGTCGCCGTCTGCATCCATTCAGAACCTCCCGTTCCTCACGTGACGCCCCCCCCTACCGAGCACCTGCACAGGTACACCTTTGCCCGCCCCGGCCTGGTGTGCGAGGCGCTGACGCACTGCTCCTGGAGCGGGCGCAACGGCAGCTGCTACCAGCGCCTGGAGTTCCTGGGGGATGCCCTGCTGGACCTGGTGGTGGTCCAGCACTGCTTCGACTCCTTCACGTGGGTTTGCTTGATTCGGGTAGAAGCCGGGGCCCACGAGACGTTGCGATGGTGCTTGAGATCCTGCCTCAGTTTTCCCGGCCTGTGTGCCTCTGACAGCTGTTCGTTTATTACCCAGAGGGGCGCTCTCACCCACTTCCCCCCACCCCCTCACCCACCCAACACGCGCCCTTCTCTCCTCCCAAACCGCAGGGACGTGGAGCCGTCAGACCTGCACGACATGCGGTCTGTGGCGGTGAACGCCGAGCGCCTGGCCTTTGTGGCTGTCCACCACGGCCTGCAGCGCCACATCCGGCATGCCTCGCCCAAGCTCCTCTCCCACCTCACCGACTTTGTCAGCATGTGGCGTGATGAGGTGAGGGGAGGTGGGGGAGGGCTTCTGGTCGGGGACATGGGGAACGGGGCCACCTCGACGGGCACTCAGGGGACGTGGGCGGCCCACAGGATCGAAGCCCCGCTCGCAGCCGGCCCACGACCTCAGCACCGCACTGCAGGACCTGAGAAACCAGATCCTGGCAGGCCCCTGCCCCCACCCCTCCCTCCCTCCCACCCCTCCCCCCCACCACACAGATGACGCGGGAGACGGCGGCGGAGGAGCGGCGCAGGCGCCAGGCCCAGAGCGTGAGACCGGCGGGCCCCCGCGCCGTCGCGCACAGCACCACAGCCGGGGCGTCGTACTGTGGGGATGCGTCTGTGCACGAGACCGCGCGCATCGCGCTGATGAACCGCCACGCCTTTGGCTTCCCCACCATGGAGGCGCCCAAGGTGCTGTGCGACGTGGTGGAGGCGCTGGTGGGCGCGGTGTACGTGGACAGCGGCGGCAGGCTGGACGTCGTGTGCCGCGTGGCCTTCCGCCTGCTGCACCCCATGGTCAACCCGCGCACCACCAGCATCCACCCCGTCCGGCGACTCATGGTGGGCGCGCGGGGGCCGCGGGCGGCGGGGAGCCTGCATGCCGCAGACGCCATGGAACGGGGTGCCCCTGTCCGAGCACAACACCGCACCCTCTGAGAACACCCGACCCACCACCACCGCCCCGTCCCCACTGTGGCAGGAGACGCTGCAGACCTTCAGTGGCGCCCTGCCAGAGTACAAGCTGGTGGCCTGGGTGCAGGAAAGGGCCCACGTCCAAGTCAGCTGCATGGACGTGCTTCTTGGTGAGCAGCAAAGGACTAGGTGGATTGCATAATGGATGAGCGGGGGATGTGTTGCTGAGTATTCGTATTCTGGAGGACCTGGCGAGGCCCTCTGGTGCGGGGAGGCGGGAAGCCTGCCCGACAGCCTGCGTCCTCGGCCTTGCGCCTCTGACCCCTGCTCCTCGCAGGGGAGAGCAAGGGCGGGAGGAACGCACGGTCCTCTGGCCGGCTGGCGGCGCAGGATGCACTGGACAGGTGGCGGGAGCTGGAGCCGAAGCTGCGAGAGGCGCTGGTGCTGCGGGCGGCCGCTAAGAAGGATGGGCTTGCCTCGATGAAAACTCCAAAGCTGGTCCGTGCTTGAGCTGTAACAGACTCTTGCATAACGAGCCATCACGCAGACCCCGCGTCAGGCTGTGACTGGCCCTCCAGATTTGGTGCTCTTGACATACCATCAAGGAGCTGATCACGCAGTTGGCGAGCATGAGAACGTGTGAGTCAGTACAAAACGCTTGCACAAGCTTGCCTTCAAGGAAGTGTCACGAGTGGGAGGATCATGCCAGGGTCACAGGGTGGCTGGACTCTTCTCAGAGCTCATCAGGGTGAGTGAATCTGGGGTGAGGGTCGTCATAATCGCCATCGTCAAAAGCTGGCAGCTCCTGAAAAGTGAGGAGGGGCGGGGAATCTCATGGAGCTCCTACTGCAGCCTGCTTCTCACCACCGTCTCAGCAGCGGGTCCGGGCAAGACCATCCGCCAGGGAATCAAGGGAGCTCAAGATCCCAGCCTGTGCATCGCCCTCACCTCGATGCCCTCCTCCACGCCCTTGCCGGCCAGGAAGTCGTCCACACAGTCCAGGACCGCCCCCGTCGTCCAGTCCCAGGGCACAACCGTGGCACGGCGCCGCCGCTGGAGGTCCAGCACGATCAACGCGGGCGCCGCGTCCTCACCTTGCCGCTCAGAAAGGAGGGAAGCAGCGAGGCGGGGGTGGCGCCCGGCGTCCAGCCAGGCGTAGCGTGCGGAGCGGGTGGCGCGGCCCAGCTCCTGCGCCGCCGCCTGCCGCATCGCGCGCAGCGCGCGCACTGACTCAGCGTACGCGGGCCCGCCTGGAAGCACGGCAAGCGCGCACGGGCCCGGAGCACAGGCATCCTCCCAGTCCTGCTTTCCTCCAAGCCTCGGCGCCAGGGTGGCGTACACGCCATGCGCCCACAAGTCGTCCGGCACGGTGGAGAAGCGGGCCGTCAGGCTGACGACCCAGGTGGTGAGGGCCAGGTACGAGAAGGGGCCCCGGTACTGCTCGCGGATGGGGGCCGCAGAGGGCGCCCTCGGGTCTGGGTAGGCAGCGAATATCACCGGACCCTGTATTGGAAGGATCAGATGGATGTGCTAATGGTAATGGGTGCATGCAGACTGGGTGTGCTTGGGGAGGATCTGAGCAGGGATTGGCGAAGCTTCACCTACAAGGCGAGAATCTGCTGCGCAGAGCGATGGTGGGCCTACTATTGTTGCATTTCTTGGTCCTTGAAACCCACGTACATTGCTCATCCAAGCAAGGAAGAGGTGTTCCACCCTATCCTCACCAAAATCCCCTCTTTCGCTCACCTCTGTGACGTTGAAGTACTGTGCTATCAGCGCATCGCCAGGGGGGGCCACCCCAAAGTCGACACCGTGGTCATGGAGGGTGCCGGCGGCTGCCAGCAGCATGGGCGCCACTCTGTCCTGCACAGAGAAGAGCACCACCTTGACCCTGGGTGCCCCCTTCTCCAGCCAGGCACTGAACTCAGGCCCTGTCAGATGGACAGCCAGCGACTCTGGGAAGAGCCGTGCGGCGGCGGCCTGCAGGGACCTGGCGTTTGGTGCACCTGCAGAGAGTACCAGACATCGTCTGAGCTTCCAGTGGCGAGTGACCAAACCAGGAAAAACGTACTCCATGCAGGGCAGGGAATGAGCCGCTGGGCAGGAGCAATGGCATTCAACTCACCGGCCCTGACTTGCATCCAGCTGGAGAATGACCCTCGAGAGCGAGACTCAAATGGAGTCAGCCACACGACCATGCGGCAGGCTGATGTGAGGCTCTGACCCAGGAACTGGTCGGCCTGCCCTCCCCATGCTCTTGCCGCTCGCTCCCTGACTGCTGCATCGGTGAGGTTGAGCGCAAACGGAGTGCAAATGCCTCCTGCACGTAAAGCAGCTTGTGCAAAGGACCGTAGGTGGTCCTTACAGCCTACTGAGTCGTACACGGCAATGCAGAATATTCCTGGCGTGCTGCTGGCCAGCGTGGCCTGCAAGTCTTGGACAGAGACGGTTTGTGGGTCAGGAAGGCTGGCGCCAGGTGGAGAGGACGGTGTTGATGTAAGGTCGCGCTCGTGTGTATCCGATGATGAAACGGGGTGGCCGACGTGCGCCCTTGGTGCTGCAGCCGAGACCTTGTCGTGCCCAGGGAGCGTCTCACAGCTTGCCACCACACCAAGCAGGAGCATCCACACCAGCCTGCGACTGGCACGCTGCGTCCTCTCCATGCCTAGGTGCACCTGGGAAGAATATAGTCACGGTCACATAATAACATCCTTATTCATTGGCGCAATCGCGTCGGGTCTCTGCCATCTAAGACATGAAATCACCAGTCCCACCCCGGCGATCCGGGGACCGCACGGCGATCCACCTCCGACAACCCCGGTACGGCATCGGGCGCTATAGGCTCACACAAGGGCTCCTGATGGCGCATTACATAGTACACAGTGTGATGCTGGAAGTGCAAAAGCGCATGCGTTTTGAACCAAGTCTCACCCGCGACAGGACGGCCTGCGCCACGACGATAGCAATGCTTCCATGCCCTTGCCCTGCGCTGGTGGCTGGCATTCATGGGAGTAAACCCGCCTTCTGATGCGATAAGTTTCTCCTAGCAGAGCGCCCAGGAACCCTGCTGGGCCCACGCCCTCCTCCCCAGCATGGATTCCTCTCCGTGCTACTCCCTGATGGTGGAGGTGGAGGGCCCCGACCCCAAAGCAGTGCGGGCGGGTGTGGCCACTCCCAGCCACACTGCCAGGAATGGAACCCTGGCCGCTTCATGCTCAGGTGTGGGGAAACCAGTACACCAAGGAGCGGTGCGAATGTGGGCTCCAAGTCCAAATTGCCGACCTCCTTCCCTTACTCCCTGCCTCAGGAACCGTGGTGGACGGTGGGGGGATTGGTCCCGTCATCGTGTGTCCCCTCACCCTCCTGCTTCCCTTCCTGCGACCCGCCAGCCGCGAGCACCCGATGCGCGTCTCCCCGGCAGACCTGTCAGCCCATGCCAGGTGGCGGAAGGGTGTCGGGCTGAGGACCAGCCTGGGCGGGTCGAGGATGTGAGTCCAGGGAGGAACCCGAGGGCACGCTGGCCATGATTCTCCCCAAACACATCACACCCAGGATCCGCGCCAGACTCGCGGCCCCGCACCTCCCCGCCGCCGGCGGCCAGCCGTTCGAGGCGAGGCTGCTGGCGGTGCGCGGCCTGCACGCTGTGCACGCTGCACTCACGCGCCTAACGGCCGCGCCCTGCACGCACGCCGGCGGCTGGCTGGCCGGCTGGGACTCCCGGCTGGGGCCGGCTGCCGCAGCCGCCGCGACCTGCACGCTGGCGGTGCTGGCGCCTGCGGGCGAGGCGGGCGCGGCGGCCCTGGAAGCTGTGTCGCCTGGCGCGGGCAAAGGGGGATGCGGCTCAGCCCCTGCAATGCAGCTCGGCGCCGGGATCTTCGCAGTGGGCGCCCCCTTTGGCACCGTCGCCCCGGCCCACTTCCAGTTCCTGCTGGCGCGCGGCATGCTGTCGGGCAGCGTGCCGGACTGCTCCCGGCTGCCCCAGCCCGTGCTCTGGCTCTCCGATCTGGTCTGCCTGCCCGGGTTGGAGGGCAGCCCCGTGCACGCCGCGGCGGCGACCGACGCGGCCGCCACTCCCACCGGGCCCCTGGGCGTGCTGCTCGGGCCGTTGGCGCCACGCAGCGGTGGCGGCGGCGCCGTGGCCACGCTCCTCGTGCCCATGGCCTGCGTCCTGGAGGCGGTGCGGGACCTGGAGAATCAAGGGGTGGCCGGCGTCGCAGGCCTGAGCGCTGAGGCAGGCAGGGGGACGCCCAGTTTTGTCGGACCCTACTCGCCCGAGACGCCATCCACGAGCAAGCTCCCAGCGTCACCAGCGCCCCCCGCCGCGGCAGCAGCGGGTCGCAGCGTCGTCGCGGTGAAGGCCAGGGGAGGCTGGGCCAGCGGCGTGCTGGTCTCGCATCGTGGCCACATCCTCACCGTGGCGCACCTGTTTGCAGACCCAGGCGGCGGCGCGGGGGGAAGGGGCGGCGGCGAGCCCAAACCGCTCCCCACGCCGCGCGCGGCGTGGGTGGCCTGGGCCCCGGACCCAGGCCGGCCCCCGCGCTGGCTGCCCGCCCGCGTGCTGCACGTCTTCCGGGGCCCGATGGACTTGGCGGTGCTCCAGGTGGAGCGCGGCGTGCTGCCGCGCCGCGCCGCGCCGGCGGCGCCCGCCGGCGACGCGGCGCTGGCGCGTGCGGCAGGGCGCGACGTTGTCGTCGCGGGGTACCCCACCTTTGACCCCGCCGCCTCGGGCCTGTCGGGGCCGGTGCTCACGGCGGGGACGCTCAGCAAGGCACGATTGGTGGGATGGGGTGCTGGGGGCGGGATCTGAATATGTTGCTGGCGGCACACCCGGTGGCTGCATGTGGCCAGACCCCCGCACACCTGCATGCCTGCAAGGCAGCCGCCTCTTGCCTCCTCGCACCCCGAGACCCAGCGCATGGGCCTGGTCACCCTCCCCAACACCCCGCACTCACCGAAACCCTCCCCGCCTTCACCGTCACGCGGCGCAGGTTGTGGCGCTGCGCGGCCGGCCGGCCATGCTGCTGACCAGCGCCAGCGTGCGCAGCGGGGCGTCGGGCGGGGGGCGTGCTGGACCGTGACTCCGGCGCGCTGCTGGGCCTGGTCACCAGCAACGCCAGGCACGTGCTGGGGACCACCTACCCTCACCTGAACTTCTGCATCCCGGCCTCCCTGCTGAGGCCCACGCTGGCGGCGCTGCTGGAGGAGAGGAGCGCCGGCCCGGACTGGGCGGCCCTGGATGCCCCCGACCCGGCGCTGAGCCGGGTGTGGCGCCTGGGCAGCCGCGAGGCGCCGGACAAGCAGGGCCTCGAGCCCCCGGCGCCCCGCGCCCTGCAGGAGCTCTTGGCTGAGCAGCAGGGGGAGGGGGGAGGGGCTGGCAAGGCACGCCCGCGCTTGTAGATGCAGGCACGCCTGTGTGTGGTGGATTGCTCGACTCTGGGCGGGCATGCTTTGCGTGAGCCCCGAGCACTGTCCCTGGTGCCTTGTTTCCTGTGAAGCTCAGGGCCATTGGCCGACATTACATCGTCCCCACTATCGTAGACAGCCAGCCTTGGACTTGGCAGTGTGATGGTGCCAGTGGCCGTGACAAACAGTCGTGAAGCCGGTTGGTGTGGACCGCATGCAGTGACTTTTCGCACGCACTCAGAGGAGGTCAGCCTCGGCAGGGGCCACCTGTCCAAGGATCTGCACATGCGTGAAGGTGGAGAGAATGGTGAACATCTCTCTCAAACCGGAAAACCACGCTTGCATGCCTTGAAGGATAGCTTCAGTGCTTTGTGCCGAGCTCGGTCCCACCAATCAGACCACTGCCTGCCTGTCGGCTGACACCCGACCCCTCAAACCCAACGGGATCCTGAACATACACACCAATGGGTTGTCCACCTCAGACAGAGGGACCAGCAGGCCCTTGCCCTCGTGGTAAGCAGCGTCCTCCTTGGAGGCCACGTGCCGCTGGGTGAGTCTTGCACCCGCCATCTTGTTGCCCTCGTGTGACCGTTCATACCTGGGGTGATGCAGGGAAGGGGTGTTGTGTGTGAGAGTACCCGACCATGTCTCTGCTGCTGGATCACACCAGCCTTGTAGTGCACCATCAAAAGTGCTTAGGACTTGGCATACCATTGGCCGGAACTCAAACTAACATCACATCACAGATGCCAAATCCACATCTGGTCATCACATTTGCCAGTCCATGCAGAGGACCTGGTTCGCATGAACTCCCCGGGCCAGAGCCCGCGCTACCACGGCGTCTTGTCACACACTTGCCACCAGCCGATGACTTGCCTGAGATGGCGGTAGGACTCGATGGCTGCCGTGGCCCCAAACCGCGGCTGCCCCGTCCGGAGGTCGTAGCTGGCGGCCAGCCCGGCGGTGAACGCCGGCTGCCACCAGCTGCGGAAGACCGCGGCAGCTGATACGCCGTCCAGTCCTGCCCGTGCCTTCAGCATCACATTCTTGTTTGCCTGCGGTGTGCAATTGTGAGGGAGGCGGTGAGGCAGCGCGCAGCCACACACCTCCTCAGCAGACGCATCTTGCGTATTAGTCGGGGATGTCAGGCTTAAGGCAGTGTATGCACATGTTCGAAATCTCCCGCCCACCCCTCTCAGGGAAGATCGCCGCACCTGCCAGCTGGCTCCAAAGCGGAGGACCGAGCCCTGAGCGGATTGCATGTCGGAGACCATTTGGAAGCCAATGTCCACATAGTTGGTAATGCCCACCACATCTGCGCAGGAGTGGGTGGGCAAGCGTTTGGCACAGTGCATTGCATTGAGAATCTAGCTGCGGGAGGGGCTTGTTGGGATGGTTCACGGAGCGTTTTGCTTAAATCCCAACTCCCCTCCAGACCAGGGCCCAGCAACACCACCATGCCTCCAACATCCCCCACAAAACAGCACCCCACAACAAACCCCCTCTTCTCATCTCGCCTGATCCCTCAAAAGGGTTGTGGACGTTGCGCTGCAGGGCCATGTGGTAGAGGAAGGCGACGCTGAGCTGGCGCTCCTCCACCAGCTCCAGAGCGGCGGTGAAGCGGCCGTGCTCAGTGGCCGACTGGGCGCCGGGGGAGTAGGCGATGCCGTAGCTGGCTCTAGAGAGGCACGCATCGACGGCGCGCTGGATTGGGGACCGAGGATCGGTGTCGGGGGCGGGCTCCGAGAAGAGGGGGCCCAGCGCCAGGGAGGGCCGGGTGCTGGCGCCCCACACCAGTCCACCCACCCTCCCGACCTGCAGGTTGCGGTGATGCGCGGGGGAAGTGCTTGTCAGTTTGACTCCCAGATCCAACTCGGTGATGTTGCTGTAAAAAGATCCGCTCTGAGGGAAGATAGACTCCCATGCATCTCCCCTCCACCGCGCCATCATCCACTCAGCCCGGCGCGGCTCACCACCCAGGCGTCGTGCAGGAGAGCCTGGGAGGGGGACATCACCGCGCCGGCCGACAGGGCGGGCGAGGTGTAGCGCGCCCCCAGGCGCAGGTTCTGGCCCTGCAGCAGTGCGCCCTGCTTCGACCCCGGCGCCAGGGGCAGCTGCGCAAAGGCGGCCAGGCCGGAGCCGGCGTCGATCATGCAGGCCCGCATCGTGGCCAGGTTGCCCGCTGCGCCCGCTGCGCCGGCCTTCACGTCCACGAAGGAGTAGGGGTGGCGAGGGTCTGGCTCAAAGCGCAGGGTCATGGAGCCCACGGCCGGGCCAGCAGCCTCGGTGCCAGACTGCCCGGTCCCCAGCCCGATGCCGCGAGGGAGGCCCAGCTTAGCCGTGACGTTGATGCGGGGGTCGTCGGGGGGTGCAAAATGAAGGATGCTGCGCAGGTCGGGACCCAGGTAGTCGCCAAACAGCAGCTCAAGCTGGGGTCTCGCAAATTGCCTAGAAGTGGGGTAAGGGGTGGTGGGAGGGGTGCCGCCTGATGATCTTTAGACAGCGCGTGTGCGACAATCTCGGGACTGCAATCCTACTATCACCTGTCATACGAGCTCTTCGTGAACCGAGATCGCCCCTTGCGCTCGCGCTCGAGGAGTGGTGGGACCAACACGACAGAGGGCGGCAGGTCGGAACCCTGAATCCAGGAGATGGCGTTTCCCATCTGTATCAGTTGTAATGATTATTCTAGTGTAAATTCAACTCAAGGGGCAAAGTTATGGTGTCTAACGTGTGCGAGGCTGGGGAAACCCTGATATTGTGTCCCTCGTACATGCAGACGTGGTGGATCTCAGACGTCCTTTACTCTGGAGCCCTCATTGGATTGTGCTAATAAACAGTTATCTCGACGAATCCCAAACCTTTTTGTGTGGTATTTTTCGAGGCGTTCTCATGCGTTGATTTCAGTTGCAAGAGCCAGTGTTCTTGGGTGGTGGGATATGTATTTATGAAGTGGAGAGGCATCGTGTTAAACCCCCAGCACAGCCAGCATGCGGGGGAAGCTGCCGTGTCGAAATGAGGAAGCTGCGCTTAACCATACATTAACAATTCCCTGGCCCCCCGCACTTTCACGGTGGCAAACATATTGTGTATCAACACCATGTCTGAGGCATCTAAGACCTTGGGAAACAAGCTGAACGATGCGTGGGAGAACCTGACGCAGCCCCATCGTCCTGGCCCGGAAGTAGGTGCCGACCTTCAGGCTCAGGCTGCTGCCTATGACTATGCGGTGAGCGAGGAGTGTAACGATGATTCTGTAAATATACAGCTAATCTTGGTGCGTTTGCCGATATGCCTGCCTACCGTACCCCTGCAGAACGCTGCACCTACCGCGGAGGAGGCTGCACGGAACGCTGCTGACCTGGCTGCCGCCAAGACAGATGTAGCGCATGAGGAAGCGGTGTCTGGGCTGCGTGGCACCGGTGAGCGAGAGCTGAATCATGTCACGGGGGGTATCAGCCAGTGGTAACAGCAGAGAGTCATTCCTGCATCTTGGATGATGCTCGGCCCTGATGGCCCTGAGGAGTGCTGAGGTGCTTGGTTGCTTTCTGGCCTAGAGCATCACGAGTTCACCACAAGTCCCATCCTCCCATCCTCCATCCGCTTACAATGTTTCCCAGGGGAGTACTTGGCCGATGCTGCAGCAGGAGCTCAGTCCAGCCTCGCCACCGCAAAGGAGTATGCCACGAGTGCCTCCGCAAGCCTGGCAGACACCCATGCTGCCACCCAGGAATCCGCTCACAACGCGCAAGTGAGGAGGTGTAGGATTCAGCAAGACAGAAAAGGAAAGATGTGCCAGGCATGGACCTAGGCATGGCCGCTGCAACCCCTTACAGTCACACCACACCCAATCCATCGACTCCATTCCACAGGCGAGCGCTGTAAGCTCATTGCGTGATGCCGGCACCCACATTGCTGGGGGGCTGGAGGTGGCTGGCGAGAAAGCGGGGGATACAGTGTCTGCCATCCGCAGCAAGCTGGGCCTTTGAACACCAGAATGAATTTGCAGTGATAAGCTCGTCATTGTGTGGCACACAAGTGCATATGCCACCACCATGCAAGATTGTTCTCAGCACAGCGACCTTTTATCTCCCGTCTCAGATTAGAGGTCGTATGTCGAGGGATTGCAGTGCCAGATCCTTTGGATATACATGACGAATAAGGGGGCAACAACCAAACTTGCACCAACGGGCTTACATGAATTGGTAGGGTGAACACAACAGGGTATCACCTCTGTAGCGCATTTGAAAAAAGAAAATAGCCGAGAGGGGACACCAGTGGTGAGGGCAAGAATGGCTCCCCACACCACATGTCCATTCTGAGTCACAAGTCAGAATTGGTGATCCTTTGAATGAGTTGGGCTCCTCTCAAGTAGCCATGGGAAAGTGGGCGCAAGCTAAGCGCCACCCCAAAACACATTAAGGCTTGTCCGTGGTGATGAGGGATGGTTCATAAAAGTCCGGAGCCTCAAATCCGAGCATGTTGATGTAGGTTGCCGTCACATTGGTGAGGCCAGCCCCAGGCAGGTCCTCCCTGCAAGGATTGTCGAGCATCCTTGTTCAGAACAACAACGGCCTGAGCAGGTCTGACAGAAAGCCGTTCTATATTTCAAACAATCCACGGGGCAGGCACGGTCTCACACAAAGGCAACTCCACATACACCCCAGCCCCTTCATGCTCACCTGAAGCGGATGTTCTTGGGTAGACCCGGACCTCCAATGGCAATGGGGACAGGGTTCAGGGTGTGGGATGTCAGAACCTCAGGTTCGCCATCCGTGTACTTTGGTGAGCCATCCTTGTTGCGCTTGACCATTTCCTCAGCATTCCCTGGAGGAGGCAGCACACTCTGTCATGCGACATGCTGGAATCGCCAGCCGTAACTGTTGCCAGGGTGTGCTTGCGGTCCCACAAACCCTCCAGGTACAACAAGTCGATCATCACAGCATGCAGGGCACCAGCATAGGCACAGGATTGCAGAAATCTCTCTAGCCAGTGTGTGCCTGGGACAACCCACATTTAAGACCAACTCCCTATGATTACCATGGTCTGCAGTCACCAGGAAGCTGCCTCCCACCTCCTCCACTGCATCCAGAAGGACCTGTGATCCAGCCAGAGGTGGACAGTGGGCACACCATGGCCTGTGATCATGATGCTCACCCTCAGCTTGCACCCGCACGTTATGTTCGAGCCAACTCCCTGCATTTTGCTCCAGCAAGTGACACCCTAGCGTCTAACACCAAGCCAGACCACTCAAAACTAAATAACAGCCCTGCCTTCCCCTGCCTCACCTTGACTCCCCTGTCTGCAGCGGCGCAGGAGATGACAGTAGCCTTCAGCTTCCCGGTGTGCCCCACCATGTCCGAGTTTGGGAAGTTGCAGCGGATGACGTCGTACTTTCCGCTCAGGATGGCTTCCTTCACCCGCTCTGCGTTTGATTGGAAGGGGGAGGATATATCACAAGGGGGGTACAGGGTGCCAGAGGTGCCACAGTGTCTTACACCACCAGCCATAGCCATGCAGGAGAACAGGGGCACCAAGTGTACATCCAGTGCCTGCCCCTTCTGGCGACAACGCACCTGCAATCTTGGCAGCCTTCATCTCAGGTTTCTTGTCAAAGGAGATGCCTTGGTCAGACTTGATCTGAATGGGTTGGTTGACGGGTATGGGAGAGAGGCTGTCAATGATGCTGCCCTTCAACACAGGCCAAAGTCCCCAGCAATTGGATGGTGTAGTCCTCCTCCAAAGATTGCTTCCCTGCACCAGCCCACACCATTTACCTCCACAAACTCCTCCAGGTTCTTGTCGAGGTATCCCGACCGATTGCCATTCCTGCAATACAAGGCAGCAGGGTTTTGATAATATGGCAGCGACCTTGCGTGTGGGATAACCGCAGAGCTTATTTGTCTGGATGGCTCAACCAAATGCAATAAGCCCGCTCATGAGTCTCCGACAATCATACCAGAAGAATGTGACATCTGCATAGCAGGTGAGGAGGGCAGGGGAATGGATGAGAGGCCAGACTTCATAAATATTCTATGTGCATGCATCAAGTTTGGACGCTTTGTCAGAGCACTTTAATCAGGGCCAGCTGGATCCCCGGTTCAACCTTGGCCCATTGCCACACTCCCGCAACAGGCATTCTGTATTCACCCCCTTCTTCCTTGACAATCCAGGCTCACGTCCAATCTTCTGGCTCTCACTGCACGCAAATATCCTGACCCCGCTGCCGACCAGGTACTGCTCGCTGGCCCGCTCGATGAGGGGTGGAGGGACGAGGTAGATGCTGGGCAGCTTAAGCTCGCCGTCATATTGCATGATCCCCGCAAACTTGATCTGCGAGCAGCAGGGAGGAGGGTCAGGAGTTTGCAGGATGCTTTATGATGGCTCTTTTGGAAATTGGGAGCATATCATGACTGAGAGATAGATGCACACCCCCAAAACACCCTGTGTGCTGGCGCACTGAAGCCAATGCATGTGCAGTCCTCTGCAGTACGTCCGCTACATCATGACCTCACCCCAAAATCCACTTCCCTACCCATGCAATTGCCCACCTTGGGCCAGCGCTTGCGGTCAAAGTGGTCAAACTCCTCGTATTCCAGGGCCTTGCTGATCTCCACCATGCGGTCGGCCCGGAAGTTGAAGGTCACCACCGCGTCGCCATCCTGCACCGCCCCCACCGGCTTGCCCCCGTCATCCACCACCACCCAGGGATCAACCCACTGGTCCGACACCTCGTTGTTTCTCTGAATGGGGAAGAAGTGTCAAAGGTGCGTGAGGCGTGGCATGGACGGCCAGGTGAGGTGGGCGAGGCGGCGGGCGCTTTGCACACATAATCCAGACTTGAGATGATCCCATGTGTCCCTCCCGGGCTGCACTGGAACACCAGTGCTCCACAGCTGGCCTGTATGAAGAAGAGGGAGCCACTCCCGCACCTTTGCACCACCAATACAAACAACGCCCCACCACAAGGGCACCGATCTTGGTCCTTTCCCCATCATCAGCAACGATCCCACCTTCAAGTCCGTGACGGCGTCGATCGCCGAGGTGTAGGTGTTGGGCGCCTCGCCCAATACGTGGGCGTAGTACCCGGCCTTGACCACGGCCCAGTCAGACTCGTAGCGGTCCATGGTGACGTGCATCCTGCCCCCTCCGCTGGCGATGCGGATGTCGATGCCGTGCTCAGAATTCCAGCGGTCGATGTCACCCTGGGCCTTGGTCACCCACTTCACCGCCTGCTTGTGTGTGCGTGGTGGCTGGGAGGTTGAGTGGAGGCAGGGAGGCATGTGGAGGCAGGCGCGATCGGCGCTGGGACCAAGCTCTAGGAGGGGAGGGATGACGAGACCAGACACTGCCAACGATGGGTGCCTTGGTGGATTCCGAGACTCAGTGCAGGTCCGTTGGCGCCAGCCCCAAGGGTGGCGCCAACAGAAGTCCTCGCCTGGGTCCACCCCACATGAGTGAGACCCCAGGATCGGCCCTCGCCCGTCTTGTGTCTGCAGCCAGCGCCCCAAACGAAGCCCCTTCAGATCCACCCACACCCACAGCCCAAGCGCACCCCCCCCACCCACCGTGTTCTCCCCCACGTCTCGCCCATCGGACAGCGCGTGCAGGCGGATGCGCCGCACGCCCTGCCTCACCGCGCCCTCCATCAGCAGCTGGAGCTGGTCGTAGCGTGAGTGCACGCCACCGTCCGACAGCAGGCCGATGAGGTGCAGGGTGCCGGCCCTGGCGCTGTCCTGGATGGCCCTCCAGCCCTCCCCGCTCCACACCTCCCCCGTCTCCAGGGACCTGTCCACGCACTTGGCGCCCTGGTCCACGATCTGGCCGGCGCCCAGCGCGTTGTGGCCCACCTCGCTGTTCCCCATGTCGGCATCGCTGGGCAGGCCCACGGCGGTGCCGTGCGCCTTGATCAGGCGCCAGCGGCCGGGGGCGCTGGCGCGCAGCTCGTCCATCGCCGGCGTCTCCGCAGCGTGGATGGCGTTGAACTTGTCGTGGTACTCGGACTCGCCCCAGCCGTCCAGGACCTGTGTGGGGAGCGTGGGGGCGGGGGGGGTGAGGTGGGGATCGGGGCTGTCGGGGTGCAAGGCCCGGCTGCAATGGGAGCTGGTCCTGAGCTCAGAGCACGACCGAGAGCCTTCTGGGACTGTGCGGCTACCATGCAGAACACAGGAGCATCATGCATCGTCCACTCACAACACCCGGAACCCGAATGCCCCTGCAGCCACGTACGCAGATCAATATGGGCTTGGTCGCCCGGGGAATGGTGGGGTGGGGCTTCAGCTTGTGCGACTTCAGCAGGGCGACGTCCTCCTGCAAATGGTCGGGGTGGCCCTGGCCATGCTGTTTTACACCCAGGGTGTGCGTCGCGGTGTCTGTCATGATGTTTGGATGTTTGCGCTGTACAAAGAAGCTTAATAATTTTGTGACTGCGACTTGTGCAGCATAACCATATTAACCCAGTTTCGCCCTCGTGCCCATATCACGTGAGCGTAACTCCCCCAACTCGCGCGCGCGCGGGGCTGCGAGTGGGCAACACGATGAATAAGACGACCAGCTGCCCCAGTCCAAAGGTTCGTGAGAAGAGTCCAAAGAATTTCTTGACTATTTATTCCCAATCGACTTGCACAGAAGGCTGCTTTGACCTCGCGACGGGTGCTAGAGGCCCTTGCTGGCACCTGGGGTGCTCTCAGAAGTTCCGGCACGCCGGTTCCCTCCTACCTAGAGTGGGGTGAGATGGGCATCTGGAGTAAACATATTAATTTGGAAGTCAAGAAGGATGAGGCGCCGAGACTTGCTCCTCACTGCCGATACAAACTTCCTAGAGAATATCCTGAGGATGCAAGAGGGCATGCTGCCCTTGACAAGGCCTGGCGCTCAGTCCGCGTGATCAGCCTGAATCGTCTCTGCACCTCCCACAACCCAATGGCGCCTTCTAGAAACACAGCAAAACCAGCTACTGCTTCACCCCCGCCCCATGCAGGCCATGAGCCGGTGGATATGCTGTCCTCCAGACTGCCGGCCTTGCTCTGTGCCAGCCTGAAACTCCAGCCCAGGCTACCGCACCTACACAATGCGTTCTCCCTCACCAGCCTCCTGCATGGGTCCGCATCGCCTGAAGCCCTGACAGACAACCTGCCAGACAGCATTGCTCTCCAGGACGGGGTCAGCCTGCGACGACCGACGGAGCCTGAGCCTTACGAGTGCTGTGGTCGCGGGTGTGAATACTGCGTCTGGACGCTGTACTGGGAGGAGCTGAAGGAGTATCAGCGAGAAGTGGCCAAGGTGCAGGGCCTTGAAGTCAAAGAGAAGGATCCATTCGAGGAGTTTGAGAAGCGGCTGAGGGGGGGTTGAGGATCTCATCCATTGCGTACAGGGCGGCGTGGCGGTAATACCAGTGTGCATCCCAGTAAGCAGCTGAGGATGTAGAGTCTACTGTGCAGCCACTCTTCCCCTCCCAAACGCCCCGCTGCTGATGCATCATGCGTGTAGTCACCTCTTGTATGACCCCTTGTCAGCACAAGGCCATGGCTGCAGGGATTTTCGTTACCCCTCCTGTCTCTCAGTAAGAAATGATACGTACATGTCAGATGGCTCCCCCATTCACAGCAGACGAGGTGCACATGGCGGGATGCTCGCCACCATTCCCTGTTGTGGCTGTCTGTATCTCCTGCCAGCAGTGCTCAGCGGTTATCACGCCGTTACGCCCCCTTGAAGCGCTTCTCGATGGCAGGGCCACTGGATCCACCCCTCTTCTCCACCCACTGGAAAAAGTTGCAGTCGCCATGTGGTGGGGGCCCGGCAGGCCGTGCACACGTGTAAAACCATCTCCCTGAGGATGTTATGGGGAAGAAGGAAAGAATTGAGTGGTAACAGGAAGAAGCTTCCAGAAGCGTGTCACGAGAGAGTGGCATGCACAGCCCGTCTACCCGCAGCTGACCCTGGGCCCCTCAACAGCAGCGAGCGTGTTCCAGCCAGGGTAATGGGCTTCCCATCCTGCCAGTGACCACCTCGAGCAACCCCCCCTTCCCCCCCCAACCAAATCCCTGCAATGCCCACTGTCACACCCTCCTCGCCTCGGTTCTCCCCGGTCTTATTGGCCTTTTTCAGGGCGGCAGGCTCCCCATGCCGGCACCGCGGCGCCGCCATGCGCCCATTGATGCGCGACCACGCCTCCTTCGCTGCCGCCAGGTGTCGCTCGTGCGCCTCGCGGGCGGCTGCCAGCTCAGCTGCCAGGCAGGTCTCTGCCCGGTTTGGGTGGGGCGGCGTGGCGCCGTGCTCCTCCCCCGCCGAGCCGTGACCGGGCTTTCCAAGGTCTGAAAGAGCAGGATGCGAGATTGATGGCTGGGTCGTGGTCCCTGGGTGGCCGCCCAGGTCTCCCTCCAGCGGTGCTTCCGCATCGGTGCTCGCCGGGTCATCACCCGATGCGACGCCCGGCGTCCGAGGCTTGAAGAAGGCCTTCAGCGTCGCTCGCGTCCCGCCGTCGGGCATGGGCTTTCGCCGGGGGGGCGCCCGGGCCGCCTTTGGCACGCCGCCTCCGCTGCCAGCGCGTGCCGTGGAAGCCGCTGGCTCAGCATCGATCCCACGGCGGTCAGGGCCTCCCCTCTGCAGCCACCCCTGGAGGGTGACCTGCTTGTCTGGGAACGTGTGCCGAGCTGCGCCGGGGGGCGCCGCCACGGCGCAGGCGGCCTCTGGCCACGACAGCTCCACCCACACCGGGCAGTGGTCGGAACCGAGGAGGTGGGGCGAGATGTCGGCGCCGCAGATGCAGAGCGAAGAGGTGGAGCCGAGCGAGGCGGAGCTCGCGGGCTCCCCGCCTTGACCCCTCGCCCCTGGGAGGACGCCCGCTCCTGCAACAGCAATGCCGGACGCCAGGGTGAGGTCAATGCGCGCCCCGTGGTTGTTCACGCGCGCCGCGGTTGCGGTGGACCAGCAGGTGTACGCCTGGGGCCTGGCCGGGTGGAAAGCACGAAAGGCGTCCACGAAGGGGCGCGCGGGGCGCGGCGTGCCAGCCGGCATTGGAGTGGGCTGGCCGAGCAGCTGGCGCAGCCAGGCCCTGTCTTTCCTGCCCTCCAGTGAGAACTTTCGCAAGCAAGGCAGTAGGTGTAGGTGCGGGATGAGGTTGTGGGAGGAATTGACAGTGGGGAGACAACTTTTCGTGAAGGGGCCTGGCCCTGAAAGCCCTCGGAAGCACGCATCACACCTACTCACCCCATCCTCATCCCCCATCCCCCACACCCACACCCACACCCAACAAAGCCCATGCAACCCCGGCTCTGCCTTCAACCTCCTCCGCCTCACCTTGGGCTCACAGCTGTCCAGGGGCGCGGCGCAGATGTTGAGGTCGCCGACGACGAGCACGGCGCGCCCAGCGCGTGCCAGCGCGTCCCAGCGCGCCTGCAGCGCGGCGTAGAAGCGCAGCTTGAACGCGAAGCGCGCCGCCGCCGCCTCGTCGTCGCTGGACGTGATGGCAGGGCCGTAGAGGTTGAAGAGGACAAAGGCGCCGTGGTCGGTGACCACGCAGCGCCCCTCCCCGTCCAGCTCCTGCAGCTCCTCGGGCATCAGCCCCAGGCCCTCAAGCTCGGGGTGGAAGGCGAGGAGGCCCTCGGGGTCCCCCGCCCGCCGGCCCAGGCAGCCGGTGAGGCCCTCCTCGCTGGCAAAGGGCAGCGCAACGCCCGTGCGCACGTAGGTGGCCGTGCCGCTGTACCCCCTTTCTTTCTGCGTGCACGCGAAAAAAGCGTCCCTGGGGCAGGTTGCGGTGGGAGTCGGTTGAGAGGTGGGGAGGGTGGGCCGGGAGCAGGGGCGGCGCTTGTGTGATGACGCTCACATTTGAAGCCGGGTTCTGGGATTGGAAATGAGGAGTGTGCATGAAGGCCACCTGCCACAGCCAGGCCTGCTTCACAGAAACCCCCGCATGCACCCGCATGCAACCAAACTCCCCCCTCCCCCCTTTTCTTTCTCCTCACCATCCGGGCACCAAGGCGAGCTCTCGCACCACCTCGGACTTGCGAAGCTTGGTTTCTTGCAGGCACACCACATCTGCACGGCGCAGCAGTGAGTAGCGAGCAAGGGAAAGGGTGGGGCATGAAGGTCAGCCTCCACTCCCTTGCATGAGAGGGCCATGCACCCACCCATGACACTGGCAACAGGGCAGGCACCCACCTGCTCCTAGGCTCTCCAGAAGATGCCCCACATCCCGAAATGGTGTGCGCTTCAGGCAGGCCCGCAGCCCATTCACATTCCAGGACACGATCCGCAGGGTCCGGGGCGGCATGGACTCCTCTGCGCCCCGCCCCTCATCCCCGCAGTCGATGACGGCCAGACAGGCCCATGAATTCTGCTTGTGCTTGTTTAAGTCACAAAGTTGCCGCGCCAGCGTCGGCTGCTATGGAAATGATGATGCTCAGATCATCACTACTCTCGCGCCCTTGCCCCTCTCGAAACCATTGCGTGAGAGCTGGCCCCACGCATACGAGTTACAACGAGATGCATTGTGAGTGTCTTTATGCCATCGCTATAGGGTATGCAATTGCTGTTGATCACGCTCCAACATGGAGGAACAAGCTGAACAGGTGAGGCCCACGATTCGAGAAAGTGATCGGGAATCCCCGTGGGTGCTTGCCGTGGCAAACAGGCTTTACGTGCTGTGTATCTGGCGACGACGATGCATGCAAACCTTTGTCACTATATCTCCGCAGTACCGGACCCAGAAGTCCAATAACAATCTCCTGCTGGTGGCCAGCGCGAGGGGCTACCTGGCGGATGTGAGCTGCCGGGAGGGGAATTCCGATGCCAACTTAGGCATCAGTGTTGTTTAATGCAAGCCCTGCGTGGATTTCTGGACTGGTAATTCACATGCGCGCCCCGCATGGCGCAGGTGGAGGCCCTGATTGAGCGGGGTGCGGAGCTGGACTGCCGGGACCGTGCCAAGCTCACCCCCCTCCACTACGCGGCGGGTCGGGGCAGGCTGGACATCGTGCGCGCCCTGAAGGCCCGGGGCGTGGACCTGGACCCCGAGTCCCCCGACGGGCGCACCCCCCTGCACCTGGCAGCCCTGCGGGGCCACGCCGCCGTGGCCGGCTTCCTGGCGGGGAGCGGCGCCTGGGTGGGCGCCTTTGACGGCAGCGACTCCACGCCGCTGCACCTGGCCGCGCGGCACGGCCACGAGGCCGCGGCGGAGGCCCTGCTCAGCCACGGCGCCGACCCGGGCCTGACCAACAAGTTTGGGCTGAGGCCGGTGGACGAGGCGGCGGTGGGGGGGCACGCCGTCCTCGCGGCCGTGCTGCAGCGGGCGGGGGGCGGGGCGCCGGGGAGCAGTACTCGGCCCCTGCTGCAGTACGCAGCAGGCCTGGGCAACCTCGCGGCCGTCAGGATGCTGCTGGGCGACGGCGCCGACGTGAACGGTGGGTATGGACGCCATGCTGGAGGCATGCTGACGGGTAGATGATGCCCCATGAAGGCTTTGATATGACGGCTGGGTGTGCGCCAGCCTCAGAGCACCTCTTCACGGAGTACTGGTCTGCCCTTTCTGTGTCCAAGCTGCCAACTTATAGGATTATCGTCTGCTCCCGCCAACCCATTCCCCCAACCCCCCACCGCCCTGCAACCCCCTAAATAGGCACTGCAAACGACGGGACAACGGCGCTGCATGCGGCCACCCTGGCGGCCGACGCAGACTGCGTGGCCCTGCTGCTGGAAAGCGGTGCGGCCGCCAGTGCGGCAGACGCCAAGGGCCGCACCGCCGCCGACCTGGCCGAGGAGCAGGACCGCCAGGCGGCGGCGCGCGCCAAGGAGGAGGCGGAACGGCCCCCCCTGGTGAGGCCCGGGGATGCGCCCAACCCGCCCCCGCTGTCTAGGGCGGCGCTGGCTCGGGTGAGGGCCCTGCTGGCAGACGCCGGGGCGCAGCGGCAGCGGCGCCCCGCGGCGGCGAGCGGGAGCAGCGACGAGCAGGCGGCCGCGCTGGGGCCCCGGGAGGCGTTCCTGGCCCTGGCGCCCGGCGACAGGCTCCGCAAGGTGGAGCGCTGGGCGTCCCTGCCGCCCGATGACCTGGACGCCGCGCTGGCTGGGTTCGAGGCGGGCGTGCAGGCGGAGGTGCAGTCCCGCCTGGAGGCCCTGCGCACCACGGCCGCTCACCTGAACATCCACAAGGTGCATTTGGAGGGGAGGGGGGAGAGGGTGGTTGGATTATTTGTGGTGGTCCACGATGGAGGGCAATGTGCCTTCAATCGCACATGGGCAAAGTATCTGAGGGCCCTAGCTGGCTGGCAGCAGGTCCTGGGCCTACTGCATCCCGCCATCCCTGCCGTGCATGGCATTGCATACTCTGGCTGCCCATGGTACGGGGCAACTCGCGGTGTGGCACCATGCCAGCTCCAGGCGCTCCTCGGCCGTGCAGCCCGGCAATCGACATACCGAAAACAGGGTGGCCACAAACGACAGGCATTGGCCACTTGCCTCAGCGCACTGTCCCCTCACCAAGGACAACCCCTTCCTCATCGCCCAGGCCATCACGGCACTGCACGAGGACGAGGAGTTCCAGGCTGACGCTGCTCGCCCCGAGGTACGGGCCGGCATCGAGGCCATCCGCAAGGACACCAGCCTGTACGACTCCTACGCACGTCAGTCAGGGCCCCGGGTGGCAGTGGCCTGGTTTGGGTGCTTGAGGCGCGCATGATGTCGCCCATGCCCGTGCCTCGCATGAACATGGCTCTGTGCTCTGTGGGCGGGGCCCGTGCATGTTTGACGTGCAGGTTGCCGCCAGTAGTCCCCGCCCTCGCCCAGGAGCCGCTGCCGGCATGGATTCAGGCTGACAGAGCCCTCCCCGCTTTCCTCCCAGGCGACCCCGTCATGCTGTCGGTGCTCCAGAAGCTGCGTCGCGTGCATGCCGTCTCCTCGGCCAACAAGCAGCGCACCGTGGACCTGGACCTGCTGCTGAACACCCCCGGCGAGCCCCGCCAGCCCCCCGAGCGGTCCTCCTGGCGCGCATGGAGGCGGTGCGCGCAGCGCACCTGGCCGCGGCGGCCGCAGCCGTCGTCGCGCCGGCGAAGGCGGCGCAGGCGCAGGCGCGGGCGATGTACGATGCCGTGCTGGCCGGCGCGGCGGAAGCGGCGAGTGGAGAGGCCTCGGTCGACGGTGCAACGACGGGGGAGAGTTTGGTGGGGCAAATGGCCGGCACGCCAAAGGAAGCCGGCGCGGACACATCCCTGCCCGACGAGGGAGCCGGCGCGGGGCCCGAGGCGGCGGCAGCCCCATCCGCCCGGCGCCGTGTACACTTTGCCGAGGGGTCCAAGCCGCCTGCGAGCGACCCCGGACCCAGCACGAGCGGCGGCGAGGCCCCGTCCCGGCCGGCGCGGCTGGCCCGCACCGGCGGCGACGACGGCTCGGAGGTCCCGGACTGGCTGCGCGACGGCTTCTCCTGGCCGAAGGTCTGGGCGGAGCTGTGGCGGCAGTGCCAGCTGGCCCTGCTCATCCTGGCCGTCTTCCTGGTGACCTCCAGCGTCCTGCGTGGCAAGCTGCCCTGGGCAGCGCGGGAGGCGGGCCCGGGAGACCGCGATGCGTTGGACCTGGCCGGCCTCCTCCTCGGCCAGGGCCGGGGGGAGCTGTAGTTGAATAAGCGACAGGTGGAAAGGGGCAAAGCATGCACACCTGCCGCGGCCACACCTGTCCCTAGTGTCAGGCGCTGCTGGGCTCTTCCTGATTGCTGTTGTGCCCTGGGCTGGTCCCTTCGGTATGTACAAAGCCTGGCAAGGACTTGGCCTGATGGAACAGTAGGGGCCGCAGCGATGGTGGTGGGTTCCATGGAGGGTGGGAGGGCACATGGAGATATGTGTACATGCTGAGGCAACCTCTAGGGGAGTGGGAATGGCACTGTAAGAGGGAGGGTGGCCAGCGATATAGCAGTCCGCCAGTAGTCCCACTGGATCATGGCGCAGCGCTATGGAGGAGGAAAGGTCAGGAATGACCTCCAGCGTCCCGCACCCGCCGCCGCCTCTTCCTGACGAGGCGCTGCCTCCGGCTCAGCTTTTTCCTGACCGGCGGCGCCGCTGTCAGCAACGGCCAGGCCTCCATCGTCCAGCCCAGGCGCTGCCCGTGCCTCGCTGCATGGCCTGAGGAGCGGGCGGGCAGTGGTCGCCTGGTCGCTTCCCGCAGCGGCTCCAGCGCCGCCGCGACGTCGGCCTGCGCCAGGCAGTGCACCAGGCTGTTCAGTCGGCCCCTCATGTTTGTGCTTTCCGAGGAGCAGGGCGTGTCCGGCGGGGCTGGGCTGCCGGCAACCGGGGGGTTTGCCATCTGATCCTTTGGCACTGGAGTCGGGACTAAGGCCGGCTGCGTGAGTGATTCATTGTGTTTGTCCTCAGGACCGTTCCCATTCCTTCCACCACAGGCCGGCTCGCCGTCGCCGCCGCAGCATAGTGGCCAGCGCAGGGCCAGGCGGCGCAGGCCCCCCTCCCACCAGGCCCGTCTCAGGCTGTTGGCAAAGCAGGGGTGGAGGGGGAAGGCGCGCACTCCGGCGGGGCCGCAGGGCGGCGTTCCCCTGCCGCCGCAGACCGCGCCGCGGCAGGTCAGGTGGTAGGCCGGAGCGGCGCGCGCCACGGCCCGCAGAAGGTCGTGCAGGGGGACCCAGGCGAAGGCGGTCTTCTCCGCGCCCGCCACGGCCGCGGTCGCTGCGTTCTGGTCGGAGGCGAGTCGGAACATGAGGGCAGTGACGTAGGGCACCTGCACGACAAACATGTGGTAGGCGCCGCGGCGCAGCGCATGCACGACACGCACGCTGCGTGCCCCGTCGCGCAGCGTGGCCGCCCGCGCGGCGGCGGCGGCGGCCACGGCCCCCGCGTCCACGCCGCATGAGGCCAGCAGGCCCAGCGTCTCCTCCGAGCACTCGCGCGCGGCTGTGGCGGCGCTGTCCTCGTCGCAGGCCTCACGCTGGCCTCCGAAGTCGCGCCACAGGTACTTCAGGTACTGGGGAATGGGAGTGTTGTGAACGGGGCGTGAGGGCCGAGGGCGGGGTGTGAGGAGCCATTGGGATGTGCTTTCGACCCACCATCAACACTGCATCCTGCTCTCATGCCCGCAACATTCTGCCTCCCGACACAAATTTCGCACCTTGCCCTTCGGGCCCGTGCGCTCCAGCTCCGCACCGAGCAGGACCAGGATCCGATCTTCATAAAGGGCGATGGGAAGCACCCCGGCAGCCTTGTAGTCATTGACTACCTTGCTGCGGGTGAAGTATGGTGAGGACGGGCTGGGGCCCGGGGCCCTTGGCATCCCTGACAAGATTCCCACCCTTCTCGGCGAATGACATGTGGATGGTGGGTCGATGACGCTTTGGGTGATCTGTCGATGGATCGCGAGCTGCTAGGGGCTGACCACACGGAGTCAGTACGGGCTGGCGCGCCCTCTCGAGCATGATCATTTTTCCGACATCGCGCCCCCCCTGCAATCGCTAGACAAGCGGCATGATGAAGGCTCCCATTGCCGCTCAGGGCACTCAGACGACTCCAAAAGAGCTGTAATCAAACTGAAATATGTCAATGCTCGCGTTGCCGCGATGGCATTGTGCCGAGCGGCTCGGCACGTGCTTCTTCGTCCGGTCATGGATGATGGGGCAGATCGGCGCCGAGCGATGCCTGCACACCCCTCAGGCCGACGCAGCCGAGGGTTCCCCAGGCCCACTTGCGGGAATCAAGGTCGGTACTCACGAGAGCAAGGCTGGCGTAATGGCTGCTTTGCCGTTGGAGGGTGGTTGCTCCCTCGGAAAGGTGCCCAAACCAGGGTCACCCAATCCCTTCACAGGTGCTCGATCTGGGACAGGTTGTGGCAGGGAACTTTGCCGGTGCCCTGCTCGCCTACTATGGGGCGGATGTCGTCAAGGTGGAGCCACCGGGCAAAGGAGATGCGCTGCGCTCCCTCCGCCTCACCGACGCCTCCGGCACCTCCCTGTGGTGGCGATCCTATGTGCGCAGGCGGTGTGGGTGGCTCGGGCGCAGTATGTTGCGGTCTCAAATTTGGGTGCTCCATGCACTGTGGGTCTGTCGACAAACCCCTGGATACTTTACCTTTCTGGCTCCCGCCTGTGACACCCGTCCCTCCCCACCCCATCCTGCTTGTCCTCGACCTTGCCCCGATAGCCTTCCCACTCGGCCCACGCAGGGTCGCAACCGGCGTTGCATCACGGTGGACCTACACAGCGCAGCTGGGCAGGGAGTGGTGAGGCGACTGGCGGGGCGCAGCGACGTCCTGGTCGAGAACTTCCGCCCAGGCGTCATGGAGGGCTGGGGCCTGGGCCCCAAGGTGGGGTGGCGGATGAGAGAGGGCCGTGAGGGATTTTGAGCACTTGCTTCCCTGTTGCCCTCCTTCTCATTACCCATGCATGCCCACCCAACCTCTAATGCACCGATATACCGTGCAGGATCTGCCACCCCACCTGATTTACACCCGCATCTCGGGGTATGGCCAAACGGGCCCCAGGGCACGGGAGCCGGGCTACGCCTCCGTGTGCGAGGCCTACGGCGGTCTGCGGGCCATCAATGGCTTCCCGGGTGGGCGCTTTTGCTGTGGCAGGGGAAGGTGCTGTTTGCAGGGGTGCCCAGTGCACCACGGCCTTGGGTCTTGCACAGGCGCATGCCGTCCAGTCTGTCACACCAGATTCTCAGCCTACACACCCCCAAACACACATCCACATGTCATCGTACCTATGCAACAGACGGACCCCCCATCCGGCCCAACATCTCGCTGGGCGACTCGCTGGCGGGGCTGCACGCCGCCTTTGGCGCCGTCATGGCCCTCCTGCATCGCGACAGGGCGCGCGGGCCAGGAGGTGCCTGCGCGGGACCCGGCACTCCCAGCGGCTCCGGCCAGGTGGTGGACGTGGCGATCTCGGAGTCCATCTTCAACATGATGGAGGGTGCGGTGCCGGAGTGGTTTACGCACAGGGCGATCCGCCCGCCCTCCGGCACCACGCTGACAAACGTCGTGCCCAGCGGCGCATGGCAGGCCCAGGATGGAAAGTACGTCATCATTGGCGGCAACGGCAACAGCGGTGAGTCCGGATGGGGGGGGATCGCACTACGGTGTGAATGTCAGTGCGCTGGAGCGGGTTGTTGTTGTGGTGGGCCAACCTGAGGAAAAGTGGCCCGGGGGCTGTGCATTTGACCCCCTGATGAGAGCATCGATGTTCCTCCTGCCAACCTGGGTGTGCAGGGCTGGGGTGCCCGCAGGGGCGCAGGAGACCCTGCCTCGCATTGCACCTGCGACTTGAGCCCCGACCAGTATCGACAGTCGCTGCCACCCCCAAAAGTTACCCCTCCCCTCCCGTTCAAAGTGTACAACCGGCTCGTGGCGGCGATGGGGAGGGAGGACCTGGGCCTCACCAACCCCCGCTTCGCCACCGACGCCGTTCGGAACGAGAACGAGGAGGAGCTGAACGCCGTGCGTCTCGGGATTGTTGGCGGGTATTTGTGGGTGTGCTCAGGGTTGCCGGCGGGCGTCTGCGAGGGGCTGCAGGGGTCTGCTCACCTCGCTTCTCTCCCCCCCGCTCCGTACTGCCCTCGAAACATCCCCCCCTCCTCATCCATCCAAGCTCCTCGCCCCGCACACGCCCTCCTCCACTCCGAAGGTGATTGCGACGTGGGTGGCGGGCCGCAGCAGCGAGGAGGTGATGAGCGTTCTCAAAGCGGCGCGGGTGCCCGCCGGCCCCATCCTGAACATGGCTGACATTGCGGGGGAGGCGCAGTACCAGGCACGGGGCATGTTCCAGCCAGCTCTCCCTCCAGGAGGTAGGCCAAAGGAAAGAAGGAAGAGGATGCACCCTGCCGCTGACCAGGGAGCGCCTTGTGAGGGTATGCTGCCCTCTGGCAAGCTGGTCGCTGGCTGTGCTTGGCACGCGGCTGCCTGCATCTGGGGCGGCGAGACTCGGGCTGGCCGGTGGCTGCTACCCAATGCAGGACCCGTGCAGGGCTTCCTGCAGGGACAAAGGTTGCCGCCTGCATCTAGGTGCAGGTCCATAACTCCGGTTGCCCTCCGGGTCACTCCAATGTCCTCCACATGCTTGATCTGCAGGTGGCGAGGAGGTGGTGCTGCCGGCCATGAGCCCCGTGCTGGGCGGTACACCAGGCAGGACGCGCTGGGCCGGGCCGGGCCTGGGCCAGCACACCGAGGAGGTGCTCAGGGAGGAGCTTGGCATGACGCAGGAGGAGGTAGCAGACCTGAGGCAGTCGGGGGCGATATGAATCCTGTGGTGACTGACTGGGCGTGCTTGTCCGCAAAACTCTGAGACTACAGGCACGCGGCTGGGGTGGACCGAGCTGTATATGTGGCATGAAACGGGGATGACTTTCACTGATCGGGGGCGACGAATGGGCAGGGACTTGCATGGGAAAGCCCTGCACTCTGGACCGTCGGGCATGGCTGGATTTCGGGAGAGATCGATGTGGGCGCCAACATCACGCTCAGGTTGTGGGGCAACTGGGCATCGCCATCAAGATGCTGATGAGGTTTTGAAGCAAGAACCTTTCGACACCATTACATTACTGTGATTTTGGTTGCTCGGTGCGAGCTGGGCGTCGTCGCTGCCACCTTGCTGCGACACAAGCACTAGGGGGGAGTCCGGGACAGGCGATGACCTGACACCAGCCGATGCACTCCCACATCAGACAATCCCAATGAAGATATACTTACGGCGGGCTGTTGAGCCGGTGAGAGGGCTGTCAAGGGGGGAAGGAGCCCGCGAGTAGCGGGCTTCCACCCCTCTCGATGTTGTGCGGCGAGAAGCAGGGGGTGCAGCATGCATCGGGGCCTCGTCCATCTCGCGATAGGGCGGAGCGGTGTTGAACAAGCTGCATCGCTGCATGTGGCATTGCGCTTAGGCTATCCATGCGGATGCCTCACCATGCCCAGCACCTGCCAGTGATCCAGTCGCCGGCACCACCCCTCCCCCTGCCCCGCCCCGCAGCCGGAGGCGGTGAAAGCCATCCTCAATCCCTTGCTCGAGGTCCCGTTGGAGGAGCTGGGCCATGCCCTCCAGGGCTTCACGTGGACCCTGGAGCGGGTGAGTGGCCTGCCCTTTGGCAGGAGTGGAGGTACCAGGCAGGGTCATGGTCAGGCACAGCAAGGTTGCACCCGCCCTTTGAATACAGCCCAAGTCCCTCTGCCACCTGGGGCTTTCCAGTGGGAGCACGCCTCTCACCCCTCCACACTCCCCTCCCCAGGGTGACCTGCACCACTGGGCGCCGCTGCTGGACCGCATGGACGGCGTGCTGGAGGCGCGCCTGCGCGACACGGCGGGCGCGATGGTATGCCCCCACACCACCGCCGCGGACCTCCCCGACCCGGCGCCGACCTGCGCGGTCCTGCGCGCGTCGCGCGTGCTGCTGGAGCACTGCAGCAACCGCCACCTGTACGCGTCGCAGGACCGCTGCCGTGACCTGCTGGCCGACCCCAGCCACGAGGCGGCGCTGGAGGCGCTGCGCACGCTGGCGGCGGCGCTGCAGCGCGCCGCGCCCCCGGGCGCCCTGCGCTCGCCGCCCTCGCCGGCCCCGCACCGCAGCCTGGAGATCCTGGCCATGCCACTGGATGCATCGCGCACGCGGGGCGCCAGCCTCGCCGACCTGGTGGTCGACGGGGAGCTGCGGAGCGACCAGGTGGGCCGAGGCGGCTGGCCGCCGCCCCCTTGCAGTCGTCCCCTGCCTCGATCCTTCACGTGACCCCTCTCGATCCCCCTCCCCGTGCCTCCCACCCCGCGCAGCTGCCATCGGAGTGGGTCGTCAAGGCCTACACGGCCAAGACCGGCGCCAAGGTGGAGTTCAGGGTGGGCCTGGGAGGCGTCCCCGGCGCCCCCGGCCCCCTCGAGGCCATGCACGAGCTGGTCAAGGACGGCCCGCTGAAGGACGGCGACGACCTGGCGCTCCTCAATGCGGTGCGTGGGTGTGGTGGCTCGGCGCCGCGTGGTGGACTGCACCTGGTCGCGCATGGAGGGCGGTGCTTTCTGAGGAGTGTTCAGTGGGCAGCGTCGGGCGGCCCCCTCCGCCCCTCGCCCGCCGAGCCCCGTGGCCCGCCCAGGCTCTACAGGGCCCCCTCCGCCTGACCCTGCTCTCCGACCTCCACCCCACCCCAAAAGCACCCTCCTCCCCTCCCCGCTCCCGCAGCTGCGCGCCGCGTACGCGTGCGGGTCGCTGGAGGGGCGGCGCGCGCTGGTGCGCCAGCGCCTGCTGGCCAGCGCGGTCTACTTCATGTCGGGCTCCACGCCCGGCGAGCTGGCGGCGCACTGCTCCGCCGACCCGGCCTTTGCGAGCGAGCTGGTGGGCCTGCTGGCGCCCAGGGCCGGGGGCCCCACCGTGCCGGAGGACATCCAGGTGCTGGCGCTGCGCGCCGTGGCGGCGCAGATGGGCGACCGGCCGCGCCACGCGGCGCTGGTGCCCAGCCTGGCTGCCGGCGCGCCGGACTCGGTGCTGGCCTCGATACTGGGCAGGGTGGCGGCCGCGCTTGGGGGCTCGAGCGACGGCGGTGGTGCGCGCGACGGCGGCGCGGGCGGCATCGTGGGCGCAGGCGCGGGCCCCGCGGACCCTGCCCCTGCCACGGGCACCGCCGCAGGCCCATGCGACGCCACCCACACACCGGCCCCCTCCGGCGACTCGCTGGCGTGGGTGGACGCGGCGCTGTCGGCGGTGGGCGCGCTTGTCAGCTGCTCCCCCGGCTGCGCGGCGCTGGAGGCTGCGGGCCTGGTCCCCGCGCTGCTGCCGCTGGTGCGCGCCGCGCCCTCGGCGCTGGCGCCGCAGCTGGCCTCGCTGGTGCGCATCGTGGAGAACTTCGTGGACTTCAGCCCGGGCAGCGCCGCGCTGTTCCGCGCGCTGGACGGCTTCGACGCGCTGGCCGAGCGCCTGGCCGCCGAGGTGGCGCTGGGTGTGGCGGAGGCCGCGGCTCGCGGTGTGGGACCTGCGCCGGATGCGCCGGGGGGCGGAGGAGGGAATGGAGGAGGGGGCGCCGCCGCGCAGGAGGGTGTCGCCGCGCAGGAGGGCGACGCCGCGCATGAGGGCGACGCCGCGCAGGAGGGCGCCGGGCCCATGGAAGCCGCTGGGGAAGGCGCGGGGCCGACGCCGGGCGACGGTGACGCGACTAGCGTCGTCGCAGCGACGTCAGCCGCGACGCCGCCAGCCCCTCAGCCCGCCGCACCCGCCGCCCACCCCTACCAGCCAGGCACGCCCTCCCCACGCCTCATCCCCTACAACCGGCGCCTGCTGCTCAAGGCGTTGCTGCGCGGCGCGGCCATGGCCTCCTACGCGCCGGGCGCGGCGGGCGGCGCGGGCGACACGCCCGCCCACCTGGCCATGTACCGGGCCCTGTGCGCCATCTTCCGCGCCGCGCCGGCCTTCGGCGGCGGCCTGTTCAGCCTGGCCGCGTCCCTGGTCTCCGACCTGATCCACCACGACCCGCTGTCCTACCGCCTGCTGGAGGCCGCGGGCGTGCCGGAGGCCTTCCTGGCCGCGCTGGCCGCGGGCGTGGTGCCCAGTGCCGACGCCGTGGCCGCCGTGCCGCAGACGCTGGTCGCGCTGTGCCTGAACGCCGGCGGCCTGCGCCGCGTGCGCGAGGCGCGCGCGCTGGACTGCCTGCTCCCCGTCTTCACGGGCGAGGCTTACCTGCGCGCGCTGCAGGGCGAGTCGGCCAGCATCCTGGGCGCCGGGCTGGACGAGCTGGTGCGCCACGTGCCGGAGCTGCGCCCCGCGGTCGTCCAGCTCGTGACCGGCATCCTCGAGCGCCTCTGCGAGCTGGGCGGCGGGAGATCCGTCGGCGCAGGTGTCGCACGAGGCGGCGGTGGCGGCGAGGCGCCGGCCGCCGCGCGGGACGAGCAGCGCCACGGCTCCGACGCCATGGACGTGGACGGGCCCCCCGAGGCGCAGGGCGCCGCCGCCCCCGAGGCCCCCCCGCTCGCCGCCGGAGCCCCCGCCCCGGCTCCTGCCGGCGCCGGCGCCGCCGCCTCCCCCGACGGCTACCTGGTGGAGTGCGTGACCTTCGCCTCGCGCATGCTGGAGCAGCTGCTGGCGCTGAACGACACCGCCGCGGCCTTTGTGGAGGCGGGCGGCTGCGAGCTGCTGCTGGCGCTGTACCGCCTGCCGCGCCTGCCGCCCAGCTTCGGCTCCACCAACGCCAGCCACAGCCTGCTGGTCACCTTCCGCGTGTTTGCCACGCAGGGGCCGGCCCTGGACCGCGTCACCGGCCTGCTCCGCACCGAGCTCGTGCGGGTGAGAGGGGTGATGTGGGCTGACATCCGCCCACGTGGGTCAGCTGCGCATGGAATGCCGTCCAGGGCGCGCCCCTGCCTTGCCCTGGCCCACACGGGTGTGCTCCGTTCACCAGTTTTCGAGTCCCCCGTCCCACATCCACCCCCCCTTGCCACCCATCACACAGGCGCTGGAGGAGGCGGTGGCGGTAGCCTCGGCGCTGGGCCCTGACGCGGTGGTCCCCGGCCTCCCCCCCGCGCCGCGCGACGCCTACGTGCGCGCGCTGTCGCGCGCGGAGGGCCTGGTCGCGCTGGC